CTAGGTTGAGGAGAACAATAAGTATACTTTTCGCATACTAGTTTCTATATAAAATTCAAGGTGCTAAATTTTGGGAGAATGATCAGGATCTGATTTAGAATCGCTTGAGCTTGGTGGAGCAAAATCTTAATTTTAAGCCTCCCTGGTATACACTCTTTTAAAAAGTGATTTGTTCAGTACCTTTGACGAGAGCATTGACTATACCGTTTCAACCCGTCCTTTATCGCTAAGATTAACATTTTGAATATAAGATTTTTCAGTGGAGTGAAAGGATAGGAAACGATTCGCTATGTTTCACAAAACTGATATAAAGTCTCTGATCACGCCTTTCTTCGGAAGGGAAGTAAAGCAGTAAACATTGATATTGAGTTTTAAGGCTAGCATGTTACAACATGGAAAATGCTTTGAATTCAAGAAATTATCAGGTTTTTTGATGACCGTTTTGATTTTCGTTTGTGCAATAATGCGGCAAGATCATGGCGCCAAGAAACCTTAAAATATGAAAATTTCACTTTTCAATTTCACTCACAATTTCACAGCAGATGAAGTAATAAAGGGTGTATTCGATAAAAATGGCACACCCATATTTACTCACCAAAATCAAACCGATTATCGGATTTTCTTGAAATTTTCCGGGAATGAAAAACTACTAATAAGCTATGATTTACAAAATTGGTTTTATTCAATTTTGTCTCCCATCCCGAATGCCCGCACCTTCGTTTTCACTCCACCCATAAAAATTTGTACAGCCGACTTCCCCAGTGTTTTTGTTGATTTCACCCAAATTTTCTTCAAATCCAGCTCTGTTTTAATAGTTTTGGGATGTTTGCGAAGTTCCGTCTTCATAATTGCCCAGAATTTTCAATTTGGCGAAGTTCCGGTGAATTTGCTGGGCTCATATATTTTGGCACAAAGTTGACTCCGTTGGATCGGTACCACTCCAACACGTTTCGAGCGTAGTGGCAGGATGCTAGATCAGGCCAAAACATGAATGGCAAGAGACGCTTCTTAACGCACTTTTCCGTGTAAATCGCACCGTTGATTGTTCCGGAAGTGATGAAGGGAGCGCTTATTTCAGCACTTCCGCAAATCACCTGCCAGATCAGGAACTTCTTTGTAAATTTCAATAATTTCTTCTTTTGAACATCCTCTGGAACATCGAACTTAGACTTGGCAAATATTCTTGTCCAGGAAGTTGACGGAAATCGGCCTTGACGTAAGTTTCGTCATCCTACACGATTTGGTGAGCAACTTCGAGTAAAGTTTCCAGGCGCGGGTTTTCACAGTGATGTTTTGCTTTTCATTCCGGTTTGGGGTTTTTGCACCTTGTAAACATGTAACCCAGCACGCTTCATGGTTTTCTGCATAAAAACCGACTGAAACCTTCCCAAGTAACATTTTGGGTTTTATGGGTGTTCTGTAGACCACGATTTAGACTTGTAGAATGCTATAAAACCTCAATAAAACATACAATGTTACTTGGGCTTGGACTTTTTAGCGACACCTCGAATTGACATGTTTGGACGGTTCTTGAACTGTTGCACCACTTTTCTGGCCATTTTACTGTCCATTTGACCACTTTTACGACCACTTCCTTCCTACCTTGGGGCACTCAGACGCTCCTTGAAGGCTCTTATCACACAAGACACAGTTGTATTAGCAATTCCAAACTTTTTTGCGATCCATCGATGGCACGCCTCTGGATTTTGATTGTAAGTGTACACATTATTTTCACGGACAATTTCTTGTTTCGCTGACATGACTGGAACTACCGTATGAATAACTATAAAACTTGACAGATGCAAACAATACACTTTGAATAAGATTTCGGTTTTTTTTACTCATACGGTTCAATACTTACGGAAGTGAAAATTGAACAGAAGTTGAAATTGAGCGAAAGGCAATTAATGAGACAATACTATTCAAATGTGCACTCATTTGTCAAGCTCATCTCATGGGTTATGGGATTTTAGGAATTTCCTCAACTTCTCCCACCTCTGTAATCATAAACTTCACGTGTGGAGTAACAACAACTTTGATAGAATGTAATAGCTCAGGGCGGGAGTAACCGTAAACAAGCCTGATGATGGTACAGCACGCAAAACCACCCTATTGCGTCTCTCTGAGATGACTACGTTGGTCATGACGAGAGAAGCAAAACAATAGTTCGGTTAAGAAGAGTTACAAACACAGTTATACACACTATCACCTGGAAATGTTTTCGGCAACATGGGGCTTTACTCAGTGATAAAAGTCGCTAGAACTATTCCACAACCGCAGACAGTATACAAGCACGTCAAACGCGCACTCTGTTGCCTATGAATTTAAGGAAATATCAAAGGAGTACACATTTGATTAGTATTGTAGCATTATAGGCCCTTCGCTCAATGTTAGCTTCTGTTTAATTTTCGCCCTACCGTACACTAACGGAATTATCAATCTATCCTCTTCGGAAATTTCTCTAGCTGATAAATTATCGTACTAAAGCTTCATGTTGACATTAGTATAACTGAATTTCCTCCCAACACTATTTTGAACTTAAAGTTGCATCTTGAAGTTCTTTTAATGTTACAGTGTAAAGTTCATATTTACTAAAAATATTTTTTAGTAATTCAAAACTTTATCATTGTTCAACGGTCATATTATAGCGCTTTTCGCACATTATAAGGGCGACAAAAAGGGCGAAAACGCTAATAAAAGTTTGCATTTAGGTTAAATCGCTTCTGTGTCTTCGTCGTGTTTTTTTTTCCGTGGGGGTCATAACAAAAAGGTCCGCAGATGGCGATAACAAATAAAAACACACTTTTATTAGCGATTTCCTCACTCTTGAGAATTTGAGAAATGCAAAAAACATTTTTTTTTGTTTTTATAAAATAGCTTCGGTTAGCAACTGAGTACCGCACAGTGCAACAATTCTTAAAAAAGAAAGTCAAAACCCTTTTCTCGCTTTTTTCGATGCTTAAGTGTTTAGGTATCTTGGAAGCAGTGACGAAAATACGGTGAAAGAATTTTCGCTAAATTCTCATCGACTGTTTTGGCATGACAAAACGTGAAATTTTTGTTCAAAATGTATTAACAAGCTCATTTATTATTAAATATGTTACTTGTGCTGTAGACATTGATAAAATATTTTCACTCTCCTGATTACATACTATTGCTTGCGGAAATTCATTTTAATTTACTAGTAATTTGGGTTCCAAAAAATATGAAAACTAATCTCTTCTTCATTCCTTTATTTAACGTCGGTCTCTGTTCCGCAATCTAGTGCCAATCACCGACGGACATCGATTGCCATCCATTGACGGCAATCGAATGTGCAGGAAGGCAGCTTCCATACCTGCGTAGGATATCGCACCCATTCAAATGCACATGGGCCAGGACCAACGGCTTTACTTCCCTTCCGAAGGAAGGCGTGACCAGAGATTTTTATGCCTCAGAAAAACCCCCACCGACCTCGGCTGGGATTGCACCCAGACTTATTGGGGTGAGAAAGTAGTCACGCTTACGACTACACCACCGGCGCCGGCAAGAGAGAACTAATGAGAGCTTCCTCATTGAAAAATGACAGGAATGCTTTGTAATTTTCTCATGACGAACATGATATTTACCAGCACTGCTTGGAAGAATTCTTAAGTTTCTTGAAATGTAATTCAGCATCTTCTGAAATGTTTATATATCATAATGTATTAAGGTGGTATTACGCTTAGAAAAACTTATTTTTTTATATATGTTTATGCCTTGGGCACAGTTGTAGAATTATGAATTTCATGAAATTTTACTAAAGACACCAAGTTTCTGCGCGAAATATAAACGGATTTTTGTCAGGAGTACCTTAACATCATAAATCTTAACTAATAGATTTAACATGTTCTTCAAAGTTTTCAATATCATCAAAATACACATCTTTTACGAAAGACAGCAATATTGAAAATAGTTTAATTTGCTCTGTAAAGCGATTTTAAAGCAAAATTTTACAATTTTGCAGATAAAATTACTCTGAAAATGTCAGTTTTTGGCAGCCAAAATTAACGTTGTTGGGAAATGCTCAATCATTTCGGATACACATCATATAGATAAAGATTGCTGATTATAAGTAGAATTTTCCATTTACGATACAAAATTGTCCATTACCAGTTTACATAGGTTTTATCGGTATTGAATTTTCCATTGCCGAAAAACCGGTTGTCGAAAAAATGACAACCATTTTACACAATTCAACCGAATAAGATGATCATGTTAAATTAACTATCGCAAATCATCTTCTTCTTCTTCTTGTTCGCATTTCAAGCTTATTGCTTAGCGCATATTAGCTCATTGCGTGCTCTCAACTTCCACAGTTTACTAATTGAGAGCTTTCGATGCCAATATCAATGCATGAATTTGTATATTGTGTGGCAAGCACAATGATACTCTATGCCCAGGGAAGTCGAGAAAATTTCCAACCCGAAAGATTCCCTCGACCGGACTGGGAATTGAACCCGCTGCCTCCAGCTTGGTAATACCGTGCCTTTACTGACTAGGCTATGAGGCCCCGCAAATCATAGTTATCACATTAATCAAAGCAATGTTCTATTTTTATACGGCATGCCACTATGTTCAACAGCAACCGTTGAACGTAGTGGCATGCCGGGTAAAAATATATCAACATCAATATTTAAATAATTTTGCACGCCCGCCTTGTAGCAACGTTCACTGCATATTGGCATATTGATAGTAGTTTTAGGAAATTCCAGGGAATCCCTCTCCCATAACGAAACAAGCTTAAGGTTAAGTGGTTCATAATTTAATTACAAAAATAATGACCTTCATCAAAACCTACGCGACCGTCTACTAACTGTGGCACATGAAATAATTGATTGAAATGCTGTTTATATAATTCATAGGTTCGTGACTTTTGTTCAACATTGTAGTGGTGAAACACGTCTTCAAAGACGCGGGGAAACCCGTTTGATAGTTCTCTTGATGAGAAGACGGACATATATCTGTCAAATTGGCCTTACCGTTACCATCACACTGATGGTACACAAAATCAGCAGAATCAACATCAGCGTAGATGACAGCCAAATACTGCAAACCGTTCCTTGAACCATTGCTTTTCTATGTTTTATTTTTATTCGTTGTTCACCTGTCACTAAACGCACTTTTCCACGATCTTTTTTGGTACGCAAGTTACGGCTGGCTCTTCTAGGCTATATTTTTCTACGATAACTGTTCACCTGCGAGATGATATCATTTCACATTTTGATTCTGATTCTCCAAATATATATGTTGCACATTTCGAAGCTTAATTTGCGCACTTTGCTATGTACCAATACAGAAGCGCATGTCACAGTGATGTGTAGTATTCACAATTTGCTCTGCTATTTAGTGTATGCCACTGACTGAATGATCCCACTCATTGAATACACGGTTGCTAATAACACTAGGTACTCGTTTTTCCTGTTCGGAAACCCGGTAAATTGTAAGTAGTCGTGTTGATCACGAAAGCACTCATATACGAAAACAAAGCGTATGGACGGAGCAAATTACAACAACTTATCCATTTGCTGGAGACACTTGTTGACGATCCGTGCCTCACTCGATACAGCACCACTCGTCACTTAACACGTCCGATCGAAGCTATGTAAAGAGATCGACTGATCGAACTGTGGTTTGCGCGAGAGAATCAGTAGCCACCGCGCCGGAGTGCGTTCGAGAAGTCCGATAAAGAGAAACTTGCTAATCATATTTGGATTCCCGTGAGAGAAACGAAACCTCTCGTTGTCTCGGAAACCAGTCTATGATAAGGGAGGCTATGCTTATTTTTAAATTGATTAGAGTCAGCTGACTCCGAAAGATATTTATGTTCGTTTTTCTTTGGCATGTTGGAGCTTCTGCTAGAAGGGCCATTTACTTCTTTCTTTGTAGGAAACCAGACTGGTTGAACCTGCGTTGCCCAGCGTACGATGCCACTTCTTCTCCCCCGGAGCTGGTTCGATCCAGCCTAATAAGCTAGAAATCGGGAAGGAAGACGTTAATTTCGGGCTTCAGGTGCATTTCAACGATCTCGATGCTCTTCCTCCTGAGCAAACGTTCCAATTGAAAATTATGATGGCTCATACGGTCCCATACTGAATGATGCGGGATACGGTATCATGAAGCTGTTCAGTTCAGGTCCTGCAGGTGCGCTGGATCATGATGACTTCTGTCACGAGTGTAACAAGTTCCGCCGTTGTAAGCAGAGTGTCTACGTTCTCAATCGTTGGTGAAAGAAGAGCACCTTTATGCTACCACGATAGCCCTGCAGGTGGAGAGGTGCTTCAAGATGCATCGGTTGCCGCATATGACTGTCGAATTGAGTTTGCCGTAGTGTTAAGTACCCTAGATGTTGGAGGGACCGATGTAGCAGCAGCAGCAAATTTAGCGCCGTTGAGAGATGGCAGGAAAGTTCTGCCCGTTGTTTTCCGGCACCCTTCTGCGGCCGGGTTTATTCTGCATAGAGGCTTTTTGCGGATACTAATGAATTCCGCTCGCTTCGGGCAAGTATTGCTAGTTGCCCGATGTGCTGCAACTTTTCTGGAATTTTCTAACAAATGGAATGACTAACCATGTATATTTGAAGACATTTCCAAAGGGAATCCAAAGAGCCTTCAAGGAGTCTTCCGGGGGAAGTCAGGTGAATCTTCTAGGGGAAATCAGATGAATGTTTTCAGAGAAGCGGTTAAAAACTTCCAGGGGAAACTAGTAGAAAAATTTGAGGCAAGCTGATAGGTGGAAGATACTTCCTTAAATAAACAAGGAATGGCGGAGCTCTGAAAAAACTTTTGAAGAAAAGGTCATTTCGAAAGGAAATCAGAAAGATGTCTGGGAAAGTAATATGAAACTTGTAGCAGAAACCGTAGAGTCTTCCGGGGGAAGTCATAAGGAACTTTCGGGTGAAAGAAGATACAATGTCCTCTTCGAGAGCAGGCCAGTAAGACTTCTGAGGGAAGTCGAAATATACTTTTGTAAATGTTTTATCAACTTTGGATATTGGAGGATAGGGTCATGGGATGCCAATCGTTTCATCCAGGAGAAAACAAAATAATTATTTAAATTATTGGGCGAAACATACGTTATGCCTCATGAAACCGACAGAAGATAATCATCCCTATTCTGTATTTCGTTCGAAACGAAATTCCTATACAAAAAAAAAATTTTTTGTATGAGAATTTCGTTTCGAACGAATTGTAGAATAGGGGTGAACATCTCAACATTTTTTTTTCTTTTATTTGATTTCCGTCGATATTGTTTTCCGTACTGAGTAGCAATGCTACCGACGCCAGAGGGGAGGCAGCTCCCACACTTGAACCCTACCTATCGATCCATCAACTCATGGACTTGGAACCAACGGCGTTACTTCCCTTCCGAAGGGAGATTTTATTCCACAGAAAATCCTGGCGGTGCCGACGGGGATCGAATCTAGGCCCATGTGGCCCCGCCCTTTGCAATAACGCTTACACTCAAAAAATTCCACACGTCATCATCATGTGTCTCACACTTAATTTTGCGCTTATTGTGAAACACATCCATTTCATGTGCGAATCTTATGATATGAACCATGCCTGAACACTATGGATTTGAAATGTGACACACTTGGATTCTATGTGCCTCGTATGGTGATATCAATAGCTATTCACATCATAGTTCAATATTCTACTTTATTAACTTCTACTTTACCGACTCTAAAAATTAATCGACAAATATATAAACAAAACTTCCACAGGCCAGAGCATTCACATATCTTTTTAATAAGTCTGATTTGGGATTCGATCATGGACTGTTGGGGTGTGCTACTGCCGTAGTCTTCGTTCGATCGCACTGTGCCACGCTTGTTCTCATTTATGAGGCGGGTTGATAGGATAAAGTCACAACTCTTGTTTTCGATGATTACCTTTATGAGCAAGCAATTCACATCGTATTGAAATGCAAAAAACTTTAAATCCATCTGTTTTGAACAGTAGTGTGATTCAATGTGCAATACACTTGAATAGATAGTGAAATATTTTCAACATTTCAAAATTTGAAACACCAGAAATTAACGTGTATAACACATTGAACCAAGGTGAAATACACTTAAAGTAAATGTGATTGTGCATTTAAAAAATCAAGTGTTTAAACACTTCGATCAAACGTGTGGAATTTTTTGAGTGTGGATCGCCAAATATAGGGGAATGGAAACATTACTCAGAAGTTGGCAGTTGATCAAACGTTTAACATTCTATGAAAAAAATTGATTTTGTCTACATACATAACCAAAAATAACGGGTTTTTTTTTAATTTACCTTCCTCATGTTTTTCGAAAATTTTTAAATAATTTCTAATTTCTGCTTTAAAATTTCTTCTGAGACTTAGTCGTCTCTGGTATTAAACTTTCTCCTCTAACATTAAACATTGGTTTTAGAATATACCTAAGAGAAGAGGTGACAATACGGGCGAAAATGAACCACTTTTCTGTCAAACGTGAACCAGCTCCTGATGGGCCGATTTCATGTGCGTAAGATAGAGATAGAGATAGAAATAAAAGAGGAAGAAGCTAATTGTCACCTCTTCCTCTTAGGAATATACCTACAATACGTGGTGTTTAGCTTAGCTATTTAATGTTTGTGCTTATTTTGTTGTGTAAAGCTTCAAGTACGTACACCCAAAGCGCAGAGAAAAAGTATAATGATGATGTAGGCATGTCAACTGTGAACGAATAGCGCCAATGGTGAGCAATGGTGAAGCTTTTCATGCTATTATGTTGCATACTTGTTGGAGTTTGTTGTTTTAGCGTTAAAACATAGCCACAGACATATGTAGATGTTCGATGTTTGTATTGCTTCGTTAGAGTCGTTTTGAGCACTGCACTGACACGTCACTCTCACATGGGTCCTTTTACCGAGAAAACACTTGGTAATTACATGATCAAGTAAAGCATTGAAAAAAGTTAGGGGTTGTTTCCAAAGCTTCAATTCAAATACATAATTTTGAAATTAGACGACACTAAATGTCCTGAAATGAAACAGATTCAACGGTCGGTAAAGAAATAATGTTTGTTTTACCCCTAGTGAACAGCAATCGAAGAGCATTTGGGACCATCCATCGTTTAGATGATGCAGAATATTTACAAACAAGTGTTTTTTTTAGCAGAAGCTTAAAACGTTGACTGTAATAAAATAAAATTGAAAACACAATTTTATAGCTTCACATTAACATACATCAAATTCATAATATAACCACACAGCAGACAAGCACAAGTCACAAGGTGCTGTTTGATTTTTCAAACAATATCCTACATTTTCATATCTTTCGTGACAATGTATCAACAATTTGTATACAGTCAACTCTCCATGTCTTGATGTTCTAAATCTCGATATGTGACCACTTTTTCTGTATGTAGATGGTTATCTCGGTCCCTTAAAACGGTCTAGTAGGCTATTATTGTTATATGTATATCTCGATCTCTCCATATCAAAATGGTCCCTTCATTATAGAGGTATGTAGAGTTGACTGTATATAGGCATTTTTATCATATTATCACGAAGGTGGGCTCAGAACACTAAGAATCAAAGAATTAGACCACCCTTTTCGTGGTACGTTACGGGAGGTAAGATCTACCACCGATTCCTAGTCCTGACTACTTCAAACTAGGTGAACAAGATTTTTCAGTAATCAAAGGAACACATCTTAGCCCTTGTTACTTTTTATGCCTTGTTGATAGTGACAAGACTCGGCATTGTCCACCGTGGATGATCTTGAAACAAGGAAAAATGAGTTAGATAATCTCCACCTATGTGATTGCTAATCTTATATTCGTTGTTCTCTTGTTTGAAGTGGTTAAGACTAGGTTTCTGATGCATGGTCATTATCGGTGTCATTGCTTAATTTTGTTGCTAATGAATCCAGTTTTGACTGGCAAAGGGACGCGCCAGGTTTCTCTCACTCTCCGAAGGGTATACATAGCGGGACCTTTCAATTAGAATCGATTCCTTGCGATGTGCATCAAATCCGAATAGCTGATCATTTCTCTATAGTGATGGAGTAATAAGACATGCACTAAACGGGATATGCTACAATAGATCAAATTACTGGTCGCAGTGGTTTTATGTCCCGAACAGAGGAATAAAAAAAAATGAACGGAGGGAGGTTTGAAAATCAAAAAAAGTGCTTACGCATGATCCCCAACTAGAAGCGAAATTTACGATTAGCGCCGCCTGCCGAATGAATTCTGAATTGAACTCATCCAACATTTTTTTATCAATTTTAGCAACTTTGCCAAAGACAACATTCTTCTATCTAATCTAGCTGAGAAGTTGAAGCTAGAAATTAGAAAAGTTACCCTAGTGCCACCTAGTGAGCAAATTCAAACAAATTTGTCAAAGACAAAGACCGCATTTATCCTGTCAATCTCTCATGTTTTAGCAATCAATTTCTCACTACGAGCAGTTGCCACATCGACGCTCTGAGAAAGGATGAAAAGATTTATTTTTTATAAATTTCATTTTATTTCTTATGATTATTATGCTACATTTGCTATTACATTGTTATAGAATGGTAGCATTTGTGATTTTTAATAAGGTGTGGGATGATAGGGAAATTTACAGGGCACATTTACTCAAAATA